GGTATGATTCATTCTGAGGCAAATTGCTCTTCAGCTGCAAACCTGTGAAACCAAACAAGTTATGTACTTAGAAAATACAATGGTAGGACATACTTGGGCTAGATATTTCCATTTTCAAAAGAGAAATAGGAAAGAAGAAAGGGGCAATGGAGCCCTTGTAAGTCCAAACTATACGGCAAACTCCTTGAGATCTTAAGGCTCGAGAATAATCTTCACTGAGTCCTTGTTCTGCACTCCAGGCCCACTGTGGTAGAGGTTCTACCTTCCAGACCTGCTGAGGTGGGGGGCCTGCCTCCACAGCTCTACCCAGGAAGGGTTGTGCCCCTAGGGCCCTGCTGGTTATTCCTATCCCCATGTCGTCTGGCAGAGACCATCTTGCCTGTTGAATAAGGCAGTCCCCGCCTACCCCTTTTGAAACCAAGGAAGCAGCCCTGATGATCTCTTAATCACCTTTGGACTTGTTCTGCCCTTGTCTTGAAGAATAGTGCACATTCTCTGCCAAAAAGCTCTGTGGTTCTGGCCTGTAAAACCCAGGAAGACCGACAGCCATCCTTCATTCCTTCCCAGTTCATTCCCTTTCATCTCACACTGGCTGTTCTCCTGCTGAAGTGGCTTATCAAGTCCATGGTTCACACCCATATTGCTCTCCTTATCAGAGGGACTTGGGCACACCTGTAGTGTTTTCCCCTGAGCAGGCCTTTTTTAAAACTTCTGTAGTCTGGGTAGAACTTTTCAAATCTTTAAGTTCTACTTCATTTTTGCTTAGCAATTCTGTCTTTAAGTCATAGCTCTCTTTTTGCATTTTACTATAATCAGGCAGGAGGAGGCAAACTGCACCTTTGACATTTTGCTTAGAAATTGCTTCAGGTAAATATCCAATTGCACTCTTAAGTCCTCCCTTCCACAAAATACTAGAACATGCACACACTTCAACCAAGTTCTTTGCCACTTTATAACAAGGATCATCTCCATATTGTCCAGTAACACATTCCTTATTTTAATCTGAGACTTCATCAGAATGCTCTTTACTGTTCATGTTTTCTACTGACATTCTGCTCAGGATTACTTGGAATTCTCTGAGAAGATTGAGGCTTTTTCTACAGCTCATCTCTCTTCTTTCTGAGTCCTCACCAGCATCACCTTTAAAGGTTCATGCAGGGCAGTGTAGGCTTTTTCTAATAGTATGCACCTCCAGACTCTTCCAGCCTCTACCCATTACCCAGTTCCAAAGCTGCTTCCACATCTTTAGATGTTTGTTATAGCAGCACCCCTGCTGTTTGGTACCAAAATCTTTATTAGGGCTTTCCAGAACCAATAGTGTATATATGCGCACATGCATGCACACACTCATGTGCGCACACACACACACAGAGTTGACCCTTGGACGACACAAGTTTAAACTCTGTGGGTTCATGTATAATGTATTTTCTTTTGCCTCTGCAATGCCTGAGACCTCAAGACCAACCCCTTCTCTTCCTTCCTCTTCCTCAGCCTACTCAACATGAAGATAAGGATGAAGATCTTTGTAATGATCCACTTCCACTTAATGAGTAGTAAATACATGTTCTCTTCTTTATGGTTTTCTTTCTTTCTTTCTTTCTTTTTTTTTGAGACCGAGTTTCGTTCTTGTTGCCCAGGCTGGAATGCAATAGGGCGACCTCAGCTCACTGCAACCTCCGCCTCCCAGGTTCAAGCAATGCTCCTACCTCAGCCTCCCAAGTAGCTGGGATTGCAGGCATGCACCACCATGCCTGGCTAATTTTTTGTAGAGATGGAGTTTCACCTTGTTGGCCAGGTTGGTCTTGAACTCCTGACCTCAGCTGATCCGCCTGTCTTGGCCTTGCAAAGTGCTGTGATTACAGGTGTGAACCACCAAACCTGGCCCCTTGTGGTTTTTTTAAATAGCATTTTCTTTTCTCTAGCTTACTTTATTCATATGTTCATTTTTTTTTGAGACAGAGTTTCCCTCTTGTCGCCCAGGCTATAGTACAGTGGCATGATCTCAGCTCACTGCAACCTCTGCCTCCTGGGTTCAGGTGATTCTCCTGCCTCAGCCTCCCAAGTAGCTGGGATTACAGGTGCCTGCCACCATGCCCAGCTAATCTTTTGTATTTTTCATAGAGATGGGGTTTCACCATGTTGGCCAGGCTGGTCTCGAACCCCTGACCTCAGGTGATCCACTTGCCTGGGCTTCCCAAAGTGCTGGGATTACAAGTGTGAGCCACCGTGCCCAGCCTAGCTTACTTTATTGTAAGAATACAGTATATAATATAGCATACAAAGTATGTGTTAATCAACTATTTATGTTAGGCTTCTGATCAGTAGTAGACTTTTCATAGTTAAGTTTTGGGGTGTCAAAAGCTGTATGTAGATTTTGTTTTTGTTTTTGAGACAGGATCTTGCTCTGTTGCCTAGGCTGAAGTGAAATGGAGCGATCTCAGCTCACTACGGCCTCAACTGCCTAGGTTCCAGCAATTCTCACGCTTCAGTCTCTCGAGTAGCTGGGACTACAGGTGCATGCCATGGTACCTGGCTAATTTTTGTATTTTTTTTGTAGAGATGGGGTTTTGCTATGTTGCCCAGTCTGGTTTCAAACTCCTGAGCTCAGGTGATCCACCTGTCTTGGCCTCCCAAAGTGCTGGGATTATGGGTGTGAGCCACCATGCCTGGCCGAAAGTTGTATGTGCATGGGGAGTCAGCATCCCTAACTCCTGCATTGTTCAGGGGTAAACTGTGTGTGTGTGTGTGTGTATAGAGAGATTTAACATCTATACAGAGATTATTATATACAGAGATTTGTTATTTAGGGATAATTATTATAAGGGATTGGCTCATGTGATTATGGAGGCTGCCATCTGCAATCTGGAGAACCAGGAAAGCTGGTGGTATAGTTCTAGTCCAAACCCAAATAACTGAGAACCAGGGGAGTCAATGATGTAAGTCTCAGTTGGAATCCAAGGGCCTGACGACCAGGAGCACTGATGTCTGCAGGCAGGAGATGATGATGTCCCAGCTCAGAGAGCAAGGTAGCCCATCCTCTGCCTTTTTGTTCTATTCTGGCACTAAGTGGATCAGATGATGCCCATCTGTATTGGTGAGGGCAGTCTTTATTCAGTTTACCAATTCAAACGCAAATCTCTTCTGGAAATACCCTCACACGCAAACCCAGAAATAATGTTTTACCAGCAATCTGGGCGTCCCTTCCCAGTCAAGTTGACCCACAAAATTAACCATCACAGGGTCATTTACAGATATTTCCTACACTTTAAAAATGAGATCAAGAAAACTAGTCAGAGGTTCTGTTTCTGACAGCAGTAGTATTTGATGAGATAATGGCCAAGAATTTTCTAAAACCAACTATAAATACAAGCCACAGATTCAAGAAGTACTTTGAATCCAAGGGGAAAAACATAAAACCACAGTCAGTTACTTCATAGTAAAACTGATGAAATGTAAAGACAAAGAGGATATCCTAAAAGTAGCCAAAGAAAAAAATACACATTAAATTCAAAGGCATAAGCATTGATAGAAACAATGGAAGCCAGAAGATAATGGAATGATGTCGTCAAAGGGCCTGTCCAGAATTTTATACCTTCAGAAATTAAGAAAAATAAAGACATTTTGAGACAAACAAAAACTGGGAGAATTTGTCACCAGGAGTCTCTGCATTAAAAGAAATACTAGAGAGGACTGGGCGCAGTGGCTCATACCTGTAATCCCAGGAGTTTGGGAGGCCAAGGCGGGCGGATCACCTGAGGTCAGGAGTTCAAGACCAGCCTGGTCCAACATGGTAATACCCTGTCTGTACTGAAAATATGAAAATTAGCCAGGCATGGTGGTGGGCGCCTGCAATCCCAGCTACTCGGGAGACTGAGGCAGGAGAATCGCTTGGATCTGGGAAGCAGAGGTTGCAGTGAGCCAAGATTGTGCCACTGTACTCCAGCCTGGGCAACAGAGCGAGACTCTGTCCCACCCCCCACCCCCAAAAACAAAAATAGAGAGATGTTCAGGCAAAAGGAAAATGATTCCAGATGGGAGCATGGAGGGGTAGGAAGAAATGAAGATCAATGGAAAGGGGAAATAGTAAATTTAAGTGAATTTGTCATCATATATGGGGCTTAACTTTAAATGTAGAATTAAAATACACAACAATAATAGTAACAGTGGGGAGTTAAAAGGAGTTGGTATCTAAGTCCTTTCACTGTCCAGCAGCTGGAAAAAGTACGAATTTACATTAGGCTTTTGTAAATTAGGGTTCGTGTTATCCCCTACAGTGTAACCACTAACAGAATAATATTGTAAAAAGCTCATAAAGGGGAAAAGCAGAATCATAATGATTTAAAAACTTAATCTAAAAGAAGGCAAGAAAAGGTATGTATGGAACAAATGGGACAAATAGTAAGATGATAGTTTGATTCCTAAATATGACAGTCATTACATAACAAATGAGTAGACTTAATGCTTCTATTAAAAACCAAAGATATTTATACTAGAAAAACAATAAAATCCATCTACATGCTTGCTTTCAAGACAAATGCCTTGGATATATGAATACAGAAAGTAAAAGCATAGAAACTGCGAACATTAGCCTAACAAAAACTGGTGTCACTGTGCTAATATCAAAGTAGAATTTAAGGCAAGAAGTAGAGAGAGAGAGAATCATTTCAAAAATAACAAAATTTTCAAGTCACCCGAAGGGTAGAACAGTTTGAAATTTGTATGCACCTAAGCATAACCTTAAAACCAGCTCTCTCTCTCTCTCTCTCTCTCTCTCTCTCTCTCTCTCTCTCTCTCTCTATATATATATATATATATATAAAGCAGTGAGTAATTTGGCTTATGTTTTTTAGTTTAGACTGTCAATTTGAAATGACAGAGGAACGTGAGTATTCCTGTTGGCAATGGGACAGAGAAGAAAGGAAAGGTGATCAGACTTTTCCCCTTTTCAGATTATTTTTTTCCTTCTTTACCAACATGTCTCCATCCTCTGATGTATCCAGTGCGAATACAGACTCTTCTGTGATGCTTTGAGCATAATCTGCAGAAGCTCTTCAAGAAATCCTTGTATTTGAATATTATGCTACAAAAGACTTTGGAGTATATAGTATGCACCTCTGTCTTTGGGTTAGTATTTGTTGATGGGTCAATATAATTATAAATTCTTGTCAAGTGTGGTAGCACACACCTATAGTCCTAGCTACCAGAGGGCTAAGGTGGGAGGATCACTTGGGCCCAGGAGTTCTGGGCTGGGGTGAGCTATGCTGATTGGGTGTCTGCACTAAGTTTGGCATCAAACACGGCAGCCTCTTGGGAGAGGAGATGACCGGGTTGCCTAAGGAGGAGTGAACTGGCCCAGATCAGAAACGGAGCAGGTCAGAATTCCCATGCTGTGATCAGTAGTGGGGTCAAGCCTGTGAATAACCATTGCTCTCCAGCCTGGCCAATATAATGAGAATCCTGTCTCTTAAAAGGGAGAGAAAGAAAATAAAAAAATTATGAATTCTCCTGTGCTAGCTCCTCAAGTCATAATCGCACAACCATGTGAGTGTTCAGGCTGATGGGTGCTCTCTGACCATTTCCCAGCCTCTCTGTGACTGTTCCAGTGGACCTAGGAAAGGTAATCTTGGCCTCAGGAATGTAGTGTGCAGTGTTAGAGCATACTAAAGGAAGTAAACACCTGAGACTCATTAGTAAATGCACCTTCTCTTCCTTTTTGCCTTTGTTCCTCACATGAATGTTTATAGAGATAAATTGCAAAGTGTTTAAAAGAGCAGTGAAAATAGAGCCTACAAAATAAATTATGGTTGTATGCTGTGAACATAAGTCATTTTAAGTTCTCAAGTAAAATTAAAAGGACTAGTGCCAAAGTAACTGGTTACTTTCCATTTCTCCTGTTTTCCTTATGTGAGAGAACTAAGAAAGCAGGGTTTGGATTAGGTTTAAAGCATTTCCATGGAGTGGGGAATAGTGGTCAAAGAGAACTTCAGATTTATATGTAGTGTTTGAACTTTCAAAAAATGGGATATATTCATATATTCCCTATATAATGTTAATAAAAATAAAAATGCTGGACATGCATTGGTGGATTAAATGTATATCTTTTCTGTATGTCAGTAGGATGGTTAGCCATGTCTAGAAATATGTAGTTGCAGTACCCCTTAGAGGTAAGGTCATGAGTAGGGAGTCAGTTAATTTAAAAATTTTTATTTATATTTATTTACTTTTTGAGGCAGTGTCTCACTATGCTACCAGGCTCCAGTGATGCTTCTGCCCCAGGCTCCTGAGTAGCTGGGACTACAGGCACACACCACTGGATCTGGCAATGATGTTTAATTTTTTGTGTCAACTTCACTGGGAAGGGATGCCCAGAAAGCTGGTACAAAATGATTTCTGGTCATGTGTGTGCGGGTGTTTCCAGAAGAGACTTGGGTTTGAGTTGGTGGACTGAGTAAAGAAGACCCATCCTCATCAGTGGAGGTGAGCATCATCCCATCTGTTGAGGGCCGGAACAGAACCAAAAAGGAAGTATGGATTCACTGTGTTTGAGCCTGGGCATCCATCTTCTCCTGCTCTTGGACATCAGAGCTCCCGGATCTCAAGCTTTCGGACTCAGATTGGGACTTAAACTCTCAGCCTCCCAGTTCTCGGCCCTTCAGACTTGGACTGCGACTTTGACCGTTGACTCCTCTGGACTTGGACTGAATAACACCACAGGCTTTTCTGGTTCTCCAGCTTGCGGATGGCAGATTGTTGGGACTTTTCGGCTTCTATAGTCATGTGAGCAATTCCAATAATAAATCTCCTCTTATTTATATATCCTTTTGGTTCTGTTTCTCCAGAGAACCATAATGCAGGAGAAAAAATTTTTTTTGTAAAGTGGTATGAAAATCTTTATCCTACAATTGCTCATCTCCTTTTGAGTGAGTCACTTTCTAAGTCAAGCAATTGAATGTTTTCCAGGAGTATTGTTTTAGCTTGCCCTCCTGGTCATGCTTTTCAAGATAATCACTTCCTAATCAGTTTTTGTTATCTTGCTGGGGAAGTCAGGTTTCCTAGTCTCTTTTTTTCCTGGAAGAGGCAAGGTTACAATTTAGTAACCTTGTAACAAAAATGTAATATGTTTAAAAAGTTGGAAAAAAAATCTTTATGCTGTCAGGCCTTGCCAGATTCTATTTTTTTTTTTTATTCCTTGTTATACTGTGTATATCCGAATCTCAAAATGGCACTTTAATTGAACCAAATTTCTTTTCCTGGTGGATGACAAATAAATACATAGCCTACTTTGGTGCTTTTAAAAATTTTATTGTAAAATGATGCCTGATGGATAATAGGATTACCAAACAGTAGTGATGCTGTACCTTTACATTTGTCTTGTTTTAATTCTAAGTATAAAAAGTAGAGATCATTTAACCCTCCGAAGTAGCTGGAATTACAGGTGTGAGCCACCACGCCTGGCGTTACCGTAATTCTGCCTGGGAAGACAAATAGTCTCAATTTCTTTTCTAAATTTTTACTAGATATTTTTACACATGTAGTGTTTCAAGTGAAATTTAAAATAGATTTAAATTTCCCATCTGGGCTCAGTGGCTCACGCCTGTAATCCCAGCACTTTGGGAGGCCAAGGTGGGTGGATCACAAGGTCAAGAGATCGAGACCATCCTGGCTACATGATGAAGCCCCATCTCTACTAAAAATACAAAAATTAGCTGGGCGTGGTGGTGGGCGCCTGTAGTCCCAGCTGCTCGGAAGGCTGAGGCAGGAGAATTGCTTGAACTCGGGAGGTGGAAGTTGCAGTGAGCCGAGATCGCACCAGTGCACTCTAGCCTGGATGACAGAGTGAGACTCCGTCTCCAAAAAAAAAATTCCCATTAGAATTTTGATTGAAATTGCATTAAATTTCTATATTAATTTGAGAGATACCAACAAGCTTGAAATACTGAACCTGTGCATCTAGGCGCATGGTGCTTTCACGTATTTATTTTCTGTATGCTCTAAATGAAAGTTCTGTGGTGCTTTTCGTATAGATATTAGACCTTTCTTTAGTTCGTTCGTTCGTTTTGCTTTTCTCTTTTCTTTTCTTTTCTTTTCTTTTCTTTTCTTTCGAGACTGGGTCTGGCTATTTTGTCCAGGCCGGTCTTGAACCCCTGGGCCCAAGCCATCCCTCTGCCTTGGCCTCCCAAAGTGCTGGGAGTACCACTTCCAACCTAGACATTTCTTAATTGGAATTAGTCCCAGAAACCTTATTGCTCCTGTTGCTAATGTTCTGACACCTTTTTTCTATTATATATGAAAGTGGCCTATATTAATGCTTTTGTGTATGTATATATTTATATGTGGCCACATCAGTGGACTCCCATCTGTTAATATATTATTGATTTCCCAAGGTCTGAAAAACTTTGCTAAATATATAATATTCCATTTCTTTACAATATGTATAGTTAGTTTTTAACCTTTTATATTACATCTAGAGTTCATGCTTTTTCCACGAGGCTGAGGTTTAGCAAATGAAAAATATACAGCACATAGTAAAGCTCGATGTTAGTTTTTTTCCTCACTGTTTCAGTCTTACATATAGATCAAAAATAAAAAAACTAAACGAAGTAAAATTTGTAAGGAAATAGATATCTACACGTTATAATCTAAGTTATCTACCTTAATTTCTCTCTTCTTTGGAAAATGGCATGATAAGTGGTTGGAATTTTTCTTCACTCACATTCTCTTTAGGTTTCCTTAGGGGGAAAAATCAGTCAAAGAAAAATTTTATATATTTGATTATGCTAGAATCTAAAATTTTTTTTGCCATTTATTTCTGGAAGAAACTGGATTGTCAAATATAATTTTCTTTCTTTCTTTCTTTCTTTCTTTCTTTCTTTCTTTCTTTCTTTCTTTCTTTCTTTTCTCTCTTTCTCTCTTTCTCTCTCTCTCTGTCTCTTTCTATCTTTCTCTCTCTCTCTCTCTCTCTCTCTCTCTCTCTCTCTCTCTCTCTCGTCTCTCTTTCCTTTCCCTTTCTCTTTCCTTCTGTGTCTCTCATTCTTGTTGCCCAGGCTGGACTGCAGTGATGCGATCATGGCTTACTGCAGCCTTGACCTCCCTGGTTCAGGTGATCCTTCCACTCTCAGCCTCCTGAGTAGCTGGAACTACAGGGTTGCTCCATCATGCCTGGCTAATTTTTAATTTTTTTTTTGTAGAGACAGAGTTTCCCCATGTTGCCCAGGCTGGTCTCCTGGGCTGAAGCAATCTTCCTGCCTTGGCCTCCCAAAGTGCTGGGATTACAAGCGTGGGCCGCCGTGCCCAGCCTCAAATAGAATAGAACTCAGATTTTTAACCCAAAGCCCATGGGGTTTCCTTTTTACTTTCTAGATTTGGAATTCTTTAAAATTAAAAGACAGGTACAGAGTCATTGGGAAAAAAAATTTGGACGTCATAGAAGACTGAGTCATGCATTGATAACTGCTAGGTCTAGGTGGTGGGTGGATTTGGTTTGATTATATTGCTCTCTCTACTTTTATGTATGAAGATGTCTAAAAGGGAAGTTTTAAAAAAATCCTATCGGCCAGTTGCAAGCCTGGGGCACATTATTTGAATGTTTTTTAGTTTTTCGACTATAGGTTGGAAATGGAATCTATTAGCAGGGTGTAGTGGTAATAAAAATAGACACCAGGCTGAGCACGGTGGCTCACGCCTATAATCCCAGCTCTTTGGGAGGCCGAGGCGGGCAGATCACAAGGTCAGGAGATCGAGACCATCCTGGCTAACATGGTGAAACCCCGTCTCTACTAAAAAATACAAACAATTAGCTGGGTGTGGTGGCGGGCGCCTATAGTCCCAGCTACTCGGGGAGGCTGAGGCAGGAGAATGGCGTGAACCCTGGAGGCGGAGCTTGCAGTGAGCCGAGATCGCGCCACTGCACTCCACACTGGGAGAGAGAGTGACACTCCGTCTCAAAAAAAAAAAAAAAGATAGACATAAATTGCCTTGTGATACTTATAGTAGATGTTCACTAAACATTTTAGGAATAACATCATGAATTATACAAATTGTTAATCCTCATAGCCATTCTCTGAAGTAGGCAGTTTTATCCCAGTTTTCATATGAGAAAACAGAATCGGAGCAGCTAAGGATTA